GGGTGGGGTAACAGCTTTTGACCATATTTTTGTTATACCTAGAGAAACTTTATTTTATCTATAATTTTGTAATGATCTGCATGAGTATTACAATATAAATATATTTAATTTGGTTAACAAATATCTTTTGGTTTAATATTTAATTAATGAATTCCATATATATTGTCCAAAAAGATTTTTTTTATTTTTTTTAATGATTTTCAAACTAATATAGGATATTTGTCTAAATATATTTCTTTCCTATATACACTTTTTGTGTAAATGTTTTATAAGGAGCAATATGTAAAAGAGGTGAGTTTTCAAAATAGAAATATAAAACATGGTGATCAAAACAATATTTATTCATTTATTTGCCATTATTATTTTATTTTATCTAAGATTTTCCTTATATATCACCTTTTTTGCAACATTTTTTCTGTATAGCTTAAAAGGAATACTATTTTAACAGTGTATTTTGGGGCTTAATTCCACGTGGTTTCATTTCTAACCTTGTATTTTAGGATTACAAGTATTTTTGCTTTTGATTGGTTTCAAAAATTAAAATAATCAGAATATTTTGGTCATGTGATTAAAATAATCAACAAACTCACTTCAACTCCACCTAACTCTCTAATTAAGTAGAAAGTAGAAACAAGTAAAGAGACAATTTTATAAAAGTACGTACATATATAGCCACAAACAAGAAATCATAATTAATAAGTCATGGAGCCATAATTACCAGCCATTTGTAAGATTACTATGCAAAGATGGAAAAGATAAAAACATTATGTACAGTTCTTTATTATAATAAAATAAATGATATAGAGGGAAACAAATTATATATATAAAAAAATTAAATAAGAAAATGATTATTATAATTACGTATAATAGTAAGGGTTGGGTAACCTAATTGATTTTTTCTCGTAATGATCTGTAACAACATTTACTTATATTTCTAGCTAGCTACATTTTTAATCATAGACCTTTTATTTAAATTATCTTGTAGCTTATCAAATGATAAATGAATTATTCGTGGCCATTATTTTCCCATAGGTTGCTAATGGTTTGTTGAGTTAGTTAATATCATAAATTCAACAAGACATAGTTATATGTGAATGAAGTTCAGTAAACAACCAATCAAATTAATGCTACAAATTATCTCTAATTAGTGAGAAAATTGAGTGTTGACATTTTCATAATGTGCTTATCCACTAAAGCCAAGTCTTCCTCGCATTGGGCGGAATTAGGTAGGAGCAAGGAGTTGATTAAGATAAAAATTATTTTTTACATATATAAAGTTGCAAATATTAAATTCTCTCAATAAAAATATTGTCTTCGTCAATGTTATTCTTCCATCACTACTAGAAAAAAAAGAAATTGGTAAAGGACAAAAAATTATAGCTCACAACAGAATTCTAAATTTAATCTTATTTAGTTACGTATTAACAACCTATCAATTCTAAAAAAAACCAAATAGTTAGGAGCTTTTTAGCAACCAATTAGACAAGGATTACTGATAAATTCCGCGGCTAATAATTTCACATTTTCATAGTGATTTATATGTCATATCGATCATTCATAAGTAATACGCAGCTTTCTATATGAAGCCATACAACGCGTGATTTTCTACTTGTGACATTGGTCTTAAATAAAAAACATTATTAATTTAATTTATAGATGATTGCTCAATTTTTAGTGTATTGTACCAAAAGGTATTAAATTATCATTTTTTTATAATATAAAAGTCACTCAATTATTTCACCTAAGTAATTGTACCCAAAGGTATTTTGTATACCAAAAAGTCATTAATTCAAACTTTACCTAAGAATTATAACAAAGTCACTAAACAATTTTTTTATCTACGTATAGCTAAAACACCATCAACTTTATCTAAGATTTATATAAATATATAATAATCCAAAAACAAGAATAAACTTCATTCTCTCATATTTAAATCGTCAAAACTAAACAAAAAATCGTAACAAAAAAAAAAACAGAAAAGAACAATTTAAACCTCAATAGCAAGATGTTGATTATAAGAAGCATAATATTATATATAAATAACCATGAGTAGAACAGCTTCTTACATATATTTTTTTGCCAATTCCAGAAAACAGGATCTTCTAATCATGAACAGAATTAATTAACTTGATGAATGATGATTTATGATGTTTATATATTTTCTTATAAACACCAAATGATTATTAGTTGTTGAAATGTAAATTATCATGGCCAACATAAAACTTAAAACCGTAAAAACAAAAAAAAAAATCGTAAAAAAAAAAAAAACAGAAAAGAACAATTTAAACCTCAATAGCAAGATGTTGATTATAAGAAGCATAATATTATATATAAATAACCATGAGTAGAACAGCTTCTTACATATATTTTTTTGCCAATTCCAGAAAACAGGATCTTCTAATCATGAACAGAATTAATTAACTTGATGAATGATGATTTATGATGTTTATATATTTTCTTATAAACACCAAATGATTATTAGTTGTTGAAATGTAAATTATCATGGCCAACATAAAACAAAAATTAAGTTATGAAGGTGTCATTGTTTCCGGTAACCATGGAGACTCACTTGATGTTGAAATTTAATTTAAAGCTTATAGCAATAGAAAATATCTTACTACATTAATTATAACAAAATTAAACCATTAAGTCTGCGTTACGTTGCAGCTGAGAAATAGGTTTTGAGACTAGGGATGATGACGAATATAATGATCAAATCATGTCATCTACCTTCACTATATCGTTTTTTTTTTTATTTGAGTTAATTTTAAGGTTTGGTTTGGTTTGGTTGTTAAGATTCACATTAATAATTATACCCCCTATATATGATAATAACTTAATAACAAATTGATGGGATTGGACTAGCAAAATGCTTGGTGGAGGTTGGGGTCTCCAATGGGAAGGTTTAGATAACTTTTTACTGGTTAAAATGAGATGAGTTAATTAATAATCAAGAAAATTTCGTAAATAGTGCTATGTTTGTTCAGATTAGTGAAAAAAACGAAATTTGACTTTACGAAATGTAACAATATTTTGGTATATTTGCTCTGAATTTCTTACCTTATTAGATTTTATTATAATTGATTTATACTATTTCAAAGGGAAAATATAAATCTTTCATATTCAGGTAACTATTTTTCCGTAGGAAAAGACTTTAGACTTCTACAAATTGAGTATCCTTCCTTTCATAATAGCATTTATAATGTAGTTATTAAAAAAATTCGTTTAGGAGAGACTATTCTTCCAGTAATTTGTATGTTTTTTTTAATAGTATATTAGTTTTTTTTTTGTATGTAGCTCACTCGACCAAAGTATATATAAAAAAAAAAGTTTCATTTATCGTCTAGTTTATCACCTTCAAAATTTATAATTATTAGTTTTCATATAACACCTGATTATTTTGATTCCAACCAAAGAAATAATTACACCGTTTTAGTCAACAGGTTTTGGTTTAACTTTGTACATCAAGCGAACTTTCGACGAAGCAAAATATATACCTCGTGCAACATTAAAATATTCGACTAATTTTATTTTTATTTATTTATAGGAATACATACATACACATATATAACATCAAAGTTGTCATTAAAAATGGCTTTACAACCAATACCTAGAGTGGGTTCTTGGTACCAACCGATGCAATTTTAATTAAAGAGGACTTGGTTTTCTCATGAATTATATTCAATTTTATTAACAATAAAATATATATACTTGTTGTCTAAATTATAAACAAAAAATCATATCAAGCTATATTCTGTTAACACATTAACTACCCGTCTGCACAAGTTGTATACGTTGTTTAAGCGCAGAATTTTGATCACCCTTGTCTCATGGATAAATTTTTGATGTAAAAGGTAAAAAATAGTTTATGTTATCAAGGGCAAACGTTCAAAATAATCCACCTTTAAAGTTATTTATACAAATCACCCTAAATTTGCAAGTTTTTGTACGAATTGACTTTATTTTAAAGGTGACTTTAATTTTATATCTACGGCTCATTTAATAAAAAATTGTGAGCCAAAGTTTTTTTTTTAATTATGACCTAATTTTGCAAGACAAATTTTCTCAGTGTATACATTTGCTGGACATAAGTTCAATACTATCTAGTTCGCAAGACAAACCTTTTAATTTTTTTTGACTTTGACATAAGATTAGTTGATAT